CCTCTCCTCTCCTCTCCTCTCTCCCTCCCTCCCTCCCTCCCTCCCTCCCTTCCTTCCTTCCTTCCAGAATGACTTGCATCGAGCAATACAACGGACCCAGTCTGCCATGTTCAACCAAGTGCTCATTTTAATTTGTACCCTGCTTTGTCTTGTTTTCACTGGGTAAGTTCTGTGGCTGCTCCCTTCCTGCTTTGGACTACAGGAGATTTGACTTGAAGGAGATGCAATCAAATCCATTGCATGCACAGAAATGGGTTTCTCCTGCATGGATTCAGAAAATCAAATTGACCTGATCCCAACCAATCAGGAAAACCAGACTGAGCCAATTCAGTGCATTGTTCTGGTTTTCCAAATCAGACTGAACTAGATCCATGAGCCAAATTAAGCCAATGACTTGAAATGAATGCCAATGGCTCCATGCTGATTGACGCCTAACATTTCTTTGATGCCTCTTAAGATAAAACTTAGTAAGGCTTACAATTTTTCAAAATCTTTAAAAATCCCATTGCAGTAAAACCACAGATGTTCATGACTTTTTCCAGTCCAGCAACACTCTGAAAGTTAAAAAAAAATCAAAAAGAAAATCTCTGACCTAATCTTTGAACCTTCTCACTTCTTTTCCTGGCTTTAGTGCAGTATTTTGCCTAATCAAGAGTTCTGGAAAACTAAAATCTGCACATACTTGGTGTAATTTTTTTGTTCTTCACAATTTAAGGCATTACTGAGCCATGGACCCTGAAACTAAGTTAGGCAGTTTGTGTAGAAACAGCAGCAACTCAAAGGGTTAAAACTCAACTCAGTATTGTCACCAAAAGCGACTGAAAAATGGATTAAAAGCTGCTGACAATAAATTGGCAGAGTCCAACATTTCTTCAGAAGAGAAATAGTCTGCTAGCCCTTAAGGATTTGGAGTCTAATGCCTCTTACAAGAGTCATTCAAAACTTCTAGAGAACCGGCCATCCATCCAGACTTACTCTTCTAACTTAATTTTCAGTACATTGGCAACCTCCAATTCACTTGCATATATGCTTTGGGGATCTTCTCCTCCCCAGGCAGTTTGCAAAAGAAAGTGGAAAATCTCTAACTAGGTAGCCCACCATAATAACGTCCAACAACCATGCTTCCTCTAATTGGATTGTGAGCATGGTTGCAGAGTGGAATAATATTGTCCAGGACTTCTTTCCACTTTTATGACTCTATTCACATGACAGTTAAATGAAAGGCTGTGGGCAGAGAAAGTCATCTTTTCAGCACCAGCCATGTTCCTTGTAGGTGTTCTGGAGGCATCTGGTTGATCTCTCGGAGAAACAAGATGCAGGATTTGAACTGTTTGAATTGACCCCACTGGGCAATTTCCCCCCCCTTCAAATAGGATCTTTCCATCTGGTGTCCTTCTACAGTTTCTGAAAGTCAGCCCTATGTTTCTGAAGTCTTCCTGAGTATAAATGTAACTGGCCAACCCGTAATTTAACTTTGACCTTCGTGTCATGGCAGATTTCATTTTGCATGAGGTCAGGGCTGGCAGCTTTCAGCTCTGGCTGTGAATCTTGTTTATCTCTCCAATTCAATTTCTGTTCCATTTGAGAGGTGGTGTTTCTGTTTCCTAGTAAGAAAATGGGAAGTGGATTGTTATCTGCTCCCTCGCATCCTTTTCAACAAAGCCTAGGTGCCCTAGAAATATCTAGCAACCTTTTAAAGAGGCTTGGGATGAAATCTGTTCATTTTCTGCTAAATCAAGTTGCAGTATTGTTTGATTATTTTATAAAAAGCATGCCGGGCCAAAGGAGTAGAAAGTTACCAAAATGTTAGTTTATTTGCAACATCCAAACAGAAGCAAGTATTAGTTGACTCCTTTTCCCCACTTTCAAATGTGACCTTGGGTGGATGTGGGGCTTCCAGCTCAATAAAGGAGGGGACATTCAGTGCTGTCAAAGGAAGAAGAATGAAACCCTATTTAGTTTTATAATAAAAACCTGGTTTTGCACCGAGCATCTTATCTTTCCTCCCCTGTGATCTAGAACCTGTGGGATTCAGCACTTAGAAAGAGCAGGGGAAAACCTCTCCCTCTTCAAGTCCTTTTATTTTTGCATCGTGACGTTCTCAACCGTCGGCTATGGAGATGTGACCCCCAAGATCTGGCCTTCTCAGCTCCTGGTGGTGATCATGATATGTGTGGCCCTTGTGGTCTTGCCTCTGCAGGTAAGATATGACTCCCTGGGGTAGATAACATGGTGGGATGAGTCATAAGTAAGACGCGCTTTGGAGCGAAGGCAGTACAGGAGCTCAATTTGCTAGATCAAAGCGAAGCGAGTTGGAAGTCCATCACATGCCAGATTGTGGGGCATGGCATTGCAGCCTGAACATCTCAAATCCATCCAAATCCATATATATATTTAACCCAGCTGACCTGTTTGGCAATGACCCTCGCTATGGGACAAAATGACATGCTTCGATTTAACAAGCTCAGCTTCTCTACAAGTGTAATCCCCGATAGCACAGCTTGAGTAGGGCATTGTTTTCTTCTTGAAACAAGCAGAAACAGAAAACAAGCAGAAAACAATACCCTAACCAAGGAACAACGAAGGAGAAAACCACACTCCCAGGCAGGGTAAGCGACTGCATATAGACAGGGAGCAAACTGCACACTCAGTAGCACTGATGATGTTATCTAGCGGGGTAATGAAACGTCTGCAAGCAAACCACCAAGCTCAGAGAGCACCAAGGACTCCATGGAGATGAAAATAACATCTGGAAATCTTCATTCCAATCTGGTTTAGGAAGCCCAATCTGGACTAGGCAGAAAGCATATAGCTGCGGCCTTAATAGTATGAGCTCAGCTTCTTTAACCACCAGAGGCAGCCTCCCCAAGCCCCAGACCCTTGGAGAAGATCTGCTTTGGGAACAGCTTCCTTGTTTTTGCCTGCAGTTTGAAGAGCTGGTGTACCTTTGGATGGAACGGCAGAAGTCGGGAGGAAACTATAGTCGCCACCGGGCACAGACGGAGAAGCATGTTGTGCTTTGTGTCAGCTCCCTCAAGATAGATCTGCTCATGGATTTCCTCAATGAGTTCTATGCTCATCCGAGGCTGCAGGTGAAGGTTTGGCTGGGTCTCTATCAGGAGGCAGGCTTAGAAAACTGAGTTTCCCTGGAGGTTGGAAGCTAAGTAGGGTTGGGCCTGGGTTGTACTTGGATGGGAGGGTATCAGGAGGTCCTGCATGGTTGTGTCCATGAAGTCACCAGAAGGCAGATTCAACATACACAAGGCATTATCTCTGCTTATCCCAGAATAATGGTCTGAGTTTCATTCCAAAATAGAAAGGGGTATGGATTGGAAAGCCTGAAGGATGCATGTAATTAAGTATGTATGTATGTATGTATGTATGTATGTATTTATTTATTTATTTATTTATTTATTTATTT